CTATTTTCCTAAAGCAAGTTTAATTCTCAGTGGTTGGTATAACCATTAAAATGTGTCAGCTTGCAACTAAATACAGCCTTTAAACTAAATTTTGTACTTCTTTTTGCTAACCAGAATATGCTATATCTATAGATGTTTATTTAAGCAATTATATAGCTTAGCATATTTATTCAGATCCTTAATTGCTACAGTATTACGTTAGAAAATGGTGAATGACACATTTCCTGTTTATTAGATGAAGATAATTTAGTCATGATTTGATAAAGTTTTTGGATGAAAAATGGAATTCATTAAAAATGCACAAAAGCAGCCTTTTAAAATTGTTGATTAGTTACATAAACCTACCTTAAATTCCAGGGTATGTGGGGGGAAAAAAGGATGTTAATCAAAACATGCTTTGCATTTAAAACTAATTGAATCATTAAACAAAGGAAGCATTAACTGTAGTTAGTGGATTCTTTCTGGTTGCTATAGTCACGAGACACCTATCTTCATCTTTAGGTGCCTAAATACCTTTGAAAATCTGTTCCCATGTCCATCAAGTGTTTAGAAATAGTAGATCTCATCTTCTCCCACATTATTTTTATTCTTAGATTGGAAAAGGAATACATGCTTTCCTGCTTTTTCAACTCCCAATTGATTTCTCAACATTGAATGAATTAGTCCTGGATTGCAGTGGAGAAGTGCACATTTCTAATTACCAATGCTGAGTTAAAATGACATACATTTTTAAAATCTTGCCATGCAGCATCTGGTGCTGGTAAGTGTTGGAGACAATATACTGGAGAAGATGGACCTTTGGTCTGATCAGTTCTGGCAATTGCTATGTTCCTGTCATCAGTACAGATTTCTTTCTCCCACATGTGTGCATGCGCACACACATGTATACACACACTTTTCATTTACAGGTTAAAAATGTCAGAAATTCTTTCGACTAAAGCCTGAAGTTGTTGGTCAATATTTTTAATAGCGCAATATTAACAACTCTGTATTAATTTATCCACTTGTTCTTCATGTCTGCACTATTTTAAACCATTAGAATTTTGGTGCCTATAAATGTCAGTGTTGATAAAATATGTAACATTTAATTATTTTGGCCCATAATTTTAACATAAAATATGAAATGTTTCTGGGATTAAGACTCAGACTTAGTAAAAATAAGATAATCTCTCAAGCTTCATCCACATCCCATTCACTTGTGATGTCACAGTAGATTTTTTTTTTTTGTGGCAAACCTTTGTAATAGGTCATCCTTTTTTTGCAAGTTTTGATCATGGTGAAATCAGGTTCTTTGCAGAGAGGATATAGATAGGCTCTGTTGGTTTATTCAGGATTCTTGATTATAGCAACCATAGTCTCCCAATGGCCTGTGATTCACAGGTTGTATGTAATAAGGCTATATCTGGTTTTATACATACCCAGAGGTCCACCACCTGTGGTTCTGACTCAGATGCATCTTGATTGCTTATGGCACCTGTGGTTGCAGCCATGCAATTAATGATAGCATTATCATTGCCTCACTTAATGAAGGGAGGTTGCTAGCCATTCTCAATAAAATAATCATCATTTATCTTATGCATTATTGTGTTAAACTTGTTAAAATTGTGGCAAACAAACCAGATTTGGCCCAGTCATCCCCTCAGACTTAAATGGGAATTCCACACACATGCATCTCAGGTGACAATTGGAGCAATACAACCAGATGTTTAGCTAGTGGAAATCAGCATTGACTTCAATGTAACTCCACTGATTTACATCAACTGAGTGTCTAACCCATTGCTTCTGTATTTGTACAACTACTGCACATATAATTTCTCAGCAAACAACCTAACTTCCTGAGATCCAAGTAGTATGTCAATTGCTACCACAAATATTAATTTTGCTGTTGTCAGACTGTAGAGAGTGTAAAATCAACAATATGGGTAAATGTCATGTTTGACAGTAATATTTAAATGATCTCCCCACTTTCTCTTTAATATAAAACCTGATGGTAGCTGTGTTTAACTGTTCTAGGAATTGTGCCCAGAAGGATTCATTATGTGAGTAAAGGACTTTTAAAATACAAAAGCACTGAACATCTATTTTCCTGAATAAAATTCTAGAAAGAGGAACATTGCAGAGGAGCAAACTCAACCTTGACTTCAAATAAAACTTTGTGATGAGCACTGGAGCATTTCAGCATGTTTTTATCTCTTCAGCTTATCTGCACGATATTATATTTCACTAATGTTTTCTCTTTTCTGCTTGATTGTATTGCTATGGTGTGATCTTGAACCTTAGCTGGAGATTGGATAAGATTGTGGAGAGGTCCTGGATGTACATCTCATCTGCTCTGGGATCACCCTATATAATGAGAGTATTTAACTGTAGAGTGAATAGACAGGGGAAACAACAGAATGAGGCATTGCTAACCTAGTGAATCAGGATTACAAACACGTGTGAAATGTTCGGTGATTGTTTTCTTAAGAACTGTGACATACTGTATTCGATATTCTGATGAAGAGGGTTTTCAAAGCTTTGAAAGACAGAGGCTGTAGCGGTACAATATGCCAGATAAAATATCTGATTTTGTTTCATTCCTTTTTCTCATTGAAAGAGCGTGTGATCAGATCTGTGTTTATTGCACTGAAAAAGATTAGAAGAATCCAGCTGTCTATTTCTAAAACAATGTGGAGAAGCTTTGAGGTTCATGATTCCATTCATGTGTATCAGGGAAGGCAGGTATTATTGCGTGGATGGAGCAACTGGGGGCAGGGGAGGAGCCAAGAAACCCATGACCTCTTGCTTCTGAAATCTATACAGACTTTTGCATTGACTTGAGTGTCCTGCCCCTTTCCAGGGATACCATAACATGACATTGTTGCATATGTGATCTCTAGAAGACTAAAGCAGCACAGAGCTTTTAAACTACATTTTAAGAAGATGTTGATGTCAAATCAAGGGTCAGACAGACGATTTGGATAGCCTCATAATTAATTTGGATCATTACGACTTTGATTCTTCAGTATTCTCCAAATCCTTTACCTGAAATACAAATATTTCCCTTCTTTATACTCCCCCTGATCTCAGACTTTTTACCATTTGTAATTTATGGAAATACCTGAATCTCACCTCAGCAGTACAGGCAGGAACCTGGTAGAGACTAACTCTTCACTGTAGAGTTAACTCAAACTCTAACGTTGTCTCTAATCTGCATTCTGCCAACACACACAAACTGTCTCACCCAAGTTCATTGGCGCTAGCTAGAAGATGTACTAGCACTTGGGTGCCACTTTAACTCAGGCTGATAATATATGGAGATATACGTATCTCACAGAGCTGGAAGGGACCTTGCAAGGTCATCGAGTCCAGCCCCCTACCAAGTACTGATTTTTTGCACCAGATCCCAAAGTGGCCCCCTTAAGGATTGAACTCACAACCCTGGGTTTAGCAGGCCAATGTTCAAACCACTGAGCTATCCCCTTTCTAGTAAGGATGTAAGATAAAGGAACTGCAGAAGTTGCAAAATGGGTCAAATTCATTTCTGGCATAACTCTAGTTCATGGAGATCCACCAGAGATGAATTTTCATTGCCTCCATGTAAAAGTATTGATTGTTGGACAGTGGCTGACAAAGCCTGCAATCCTGGCTTTTTCTTACTGACTTCAAATAAAGCTACCGTGGCAAGTACTAATGAGGCAGCCTCCTGCCTAATCCTATTGTCCATATAAATACTTGGTTAGCTATATAATGGAAGGAAAATGAAAAACAAAAAGAAATGAGAGGGAAGGAGCAAATTAGCTGGCTGAATGATCATTATCATTATTAGTCAAAATTACAGCTCTTCGGGATCCAATCTCACGTTTTCAAGGCGTACCAAACAAATGATGATGATGCATTAGATTAGATGTCATTGGATGGATGGGGGGGAGGGGTCATTAAAGGTAGGTGGAAAAACAATTTGATATATTATACTAATAAATACAGGACATTAATTAATTAGGCCTGATACTATAATGGGTCTCAGTGTGGGTGCAAGGCTCTGCCCATACAGAGCTCCTGGCAGGATCACAATCTTAGTAACTTACAATAGTAAAATGTGTATTTAAATGAGAGCTAACTGTCACAGGCCCGTTCAGTTGGAATTTTTCATTTTCTATACAGCAATCTCTCCTATTAACTAGAAGATTTAATCAGGCACAATATTACCCTATTCATTCTTGTATATGTAACCCACACACCTCCTGGCGAGGTGTTCTGTCCCATCTAGTGGCACTGAGACCACTTAGAGAGAGAGATTAATAAATCAGCTTAACAGGAATATGGCTTTTAGCTCATGCAGTAGGGGCTCATGCACTAAGCTCCACAGGTCCCAGCTTTGATCCCGCCTGCCGATGACCAGGGTCTGTCAGTGTTACAGATAATTATAATGTTATTGTGTAATATGTTAAATTCTACTATAGAACAAGGATGGAATTTTAGCAAACGATAGCCCAGAAAAATCTAATCTTGTTTCCTTCATGTTAACACTGTGAACTGAAAACATTGTTCATCTCGGAGCTGCCTCTGGTTTGTCTATGCCTTTCTGGTAGTGGTATGCTCCATAATGAATGCAGTAGTCCTGGTACAGTCTCAAAGGAGTCATACACAAAGGAACTATCACCCTCCACTCTGTGCAGGTGGTGCCTTTACAGGCCAAAATCACATCGGCCTTTTTTGCTCCCCACTGTCAACCCTGGTCTCCTTTAGGATTACTGCTTTCCAGATTTCTTCCTCTGTGCGTTGGGTTATTTTTACCCAGGTGTACTACATTAATTTGTATTTTTCCAGCATGAATTTCATTGAGTCATTTCCTACCCATATTTCTAACTGCTGTTGGTAACTTTGCAGAATTTCTCTGTCCTCACTGATATTTGCAACAACTTCCAGTTTAATGCCATCCGCAAATTGAATTAATATGCTTTTTGCTCCAACTTCCAGACCATTAACAAAGATGATAAAAATATTTCCTGTGATTTCAGAGAGATCATATGAAGCAGAGATGGGAAACGACCTTCTAAGTTATCTGCTCCATTCCCCTTTCAATGAAGGTGCGTTCCATTCATTATATCGTTTGTATTGCCTGCAGCATGATACACCTAATTTAAGTCAAAAATCTTGTACTGTGTGGTTTGTCCAGCCAATCAGCTTTCATTTGTGGTAGGCTTTAACTCATCATACGACTCAGGAAAGAGACACATGCTTCCATTACATTGATAAACAGTGTGAGATTCAATGCTGTGAAAGTCTTCCTCATTCTTAAAAGGAAGCATAAATTTACTTAAACATTGTAAAATAGAAAAAAATAGACTCCATAGTGTCTTTGGCTCTGGACACAAATGCCCAGATACCATGATGTTGGCTGCAAGAGGGATGGATAGGGAATTTGATATAGGGTTATGTATGTTTATTTGTTTTTCAGTTTCAAATACGGGCTTATTCTTTCTTCTAGGCATTTTATGATCTTGAAACAATATCAAAATAATGTAACAATATTTACAATATAATCGAGTTGAATGCACACATTATGCAGGCTTGCCCACCTCCTCAAAAAACCTAACAAGCCTTGTCCAACATGTACTCTTCAAACCACCCCCCTTCCTCATCCTTCCGGGGTGGGGGGGAATATGAGTTTTTGCAGGGGCCTGGACGCTTAGCAGAGTTGGGCTCTGGTGGACCAAGAACTAGAGCAAATTACAGAGATGAAGAACCCATATAGGAAAAAGTCCTGCCAGCAGCCACCCATCACTTAAATCAAGGTGATTACATCTTGAGCCTGTGAGGGGGTAAACCCCACACCAGATAGGAAATGGTTAAAGAGCAGCCTTGAGGTCAGTTAACCCCACTCTAAGGTACCTGTTCTGAGTGTTAGATTTAAGATGAGGAAAGCCCAGAAGTTGAGGGCTGTTGGAAAAGGAGAGCAGATAGGCAGTTCTTCTGTGGGGCAAGGAGCTTGGCTCAGACCAGGGGTCCTGGAACAATTTTTGTATAGTGGGGGTGCTGACTGAGAGCCATTGAACCAAATCATAAACCCTTTATATAATGGAAACCATTTCAAGTCAGGGGGTGCGGGAGCACCCCTAGTTCCAGCACCTATGGCCCAGTCCAGGGATTATAGGAGGACTATGGCTTGCTAGAGCCTTTGCAAAGAGGGTAGGCCTGGCCTGGCCTGGATGACTGATTAGAGAAGAGCCAAGGATCCAGTCTCTAAGTGGGAAGGCAAGCTGTTATAGCTAGGAGCCTGCCTGTGAGGGCTGAAGGCTGGGCCTCGCTGGACTGTTTTGTTTTGTATGTTTGTTTGTTTGGCTTTGAACTAAGTGACTCTGTTACCCCAAAGGGGGTTGAGTGCTTTAAAGTAGGCTTGGCTGGAAAGCCAAGCTCACCTGTGTGGCTGGAATAGGCCAAAGAGTATTGTGCAGAAACTGATGCCTGGTCCCAGCAAATATTGCACCCGTCACGAGGGGACACTGAGGGACAAAGAGAAACTATCCCAGAGCCCCTCGCCTGGCCCAGCTGTATCATTGCCACACAGGGAAAGAAGCAGTCTCTCAGGCTGTGTGGTTCTAAACCACATATAGCATTAATGGTTAAAACTGACGCTTTGGATTCCACCTGGAAACTAACAACCAGCTAGTACAGTCTATGAAGTACTGGTGGTCTGTGATCTTGATATGATGCTCTACTCAATAAGTTATTAGCTACATTCTGCACTAGCTTCACTTTCTGAACCATCTCTGTGTGTAGCTCCATATCAATCACATTGCAATAGTCTAATCTTGGTGTTACAAAGGCTGACTTTCACCTCTAGGCTGTCTGTTCTAAGTCATCTCAAGTTGGTGGCCATTATTGTTTGATGGTTGGTCAATGGGCTTGTTTTGAGATATATTAAAGGTCTCATTCCAGAGGACCAGCATCCTCTTCCTCTAAACCAACATTTTAATTGTCACTGTAGTTGGCAGTTTCAATAGCGAGGTCAAGGGCAGAATGGATGTAGAGACTGAACTTTTCTCTCCCTTTAAAACTTTGCTTGCTTACTTGCTGATTGACTGATTGATAGCACCTAGGAGCCTTTACTTTGCTTCTCTTACTGTTTCCAATCAGGAGAGGGAGCAAAAGTATCAAAATATTCTGAGAAGAACTTCTCTTGTTTTATTTCACACTCAACTCAAACAAGGAAAACTGGTAATCCAGCTCCCATGCTCTCTCACACATACACAAGCCATATTCTTGCATGTTTTCCAATCTGTTTTCTTGGACCAAGAAAGAGGAATAGACTGAAATAGACTCCTATATTCTTATCTAGACTGAAAGCTAAGTCTTCTGAGATTTAGCTTAGTCATTCCTCCCCTCAATAGTCTGTGTCCAAGTTAACATGCTTCATAATCTAATCATATACACCTGTGCTATCAAAAGTGCCAATTTTTGAAAGGTTAGATCAAATAACTAATTCTTTTTTGAGCAAATTGCATTTCTCTCCATTTACTTTCCATTTGCTTTATGTTGTAAAAGCTTTCAAAGTCATCTAACAGCTACTAAGGCAAGGAGGCTGATTATCTGGTTGTTAATAGGGTTGTCACTCAAAAACCTAGGAAAAGCAAGTTTAGCAGCAATGTTAGCATTTAAATAATGCTGGAAAATAAAAGGTGCAAAGCCATCAAATCATTGGAGCACATGACTATGTAAAAGCTGTACATTTAGGAAGATCATCAGCAGTGGTGCAAGTAGAAATCATTTCTTGCCGGCACGTGACCCCCAACATGACTCCTCCCTGCCCCGGGCCCCGCACTCTCCCAATCCCCTCCCCCTGATCCACATCCATCTCATGTTACCAGAGGGGGAGAGGGGGCTCTGTCCTCCTCCTGCTGCGCTGGAGACTTCTGCTGTGCAGATGCCAGGCAGGAGGATTCAGGAGACGCGGCTGCATGGAAGGGCGGGGGGTGGGGCTGGGGGCGGTACAGCAGCCGCGCCAGAGGAGCTGCTGGCATTCTGCTTCTTTCCCCACTGCGGTTCCCAGTGGGGAAAGGAACAGAACACTGGCAGCTCCTCCAGCGCGGCTGCTGTACTGCCCCCAGCCCTGTTCTCCAACGGGGCTGCTGTACAGATGGAGGAAATGCATTCCGTGGAAGGGCAAGGAGCGTGGCGGGGGTGGGCTCCTCCTCTGTCTTTCTGGTACGCCATACCAGCTATAAATGTCTTACTGGTATGGTGTACCGGACAATACCACCGTACTTGCACCACTGATCATCAGTGTTTAATGTTAGAAGACGGCTTACGTGTTTGTCGGTGTCAACTGTTTGTTCTTTGCTGTTTCTACAAACTAGATCCATTTGAAGGCATATAGCTGCAAAAACAGCTGATTTTGTAGCTATCTTGACAACTTAAACCAACTTTGAGACTTTTCTCCATTGAGAGCTAACAAGTGGGAATGGACAGGTGGGGGTATATTTAAAGATTCTTCCTTATCCCTAAAAAATTCTGGATCCTTATCTAATCTAGTGCTGCTTTCTGGTGCGAGTGAACAGTGGCTTACGGACACCACAGTAGTCAAGGAAAGAGGACAACTGACTCCCTCCCTCCCATCCTGGGATCTCCAAAGTCTGGCAAATTCTCATCATCATGAGTCTTTGCTTTGCTCCTCCTAGCCTTCAGGCTACTACTCTCCCCTTTCTGCAATATCAGGATCAAGAAAAACTCTTCTGCTCTTCTGAGCTCCATAAGGGCTAGGTATTAATGCTATTGCATTATACTGGTGCAGCTGGTCACCACCGGAAGGCTCTGGGCATGGGAGGGAGTCAGCGAGTTGTCCCTTGAGGCCTCAAAGAGGTCACAGGTCACTGCCACCACCTGCTCAGAAAAGAGCACTCGATAGGGAGGGGACTGGTGTAGTTATGCAGCAGGAAGTTATGGGGCGGCAAGGAAAGATCCCACTCCCTTTCTAGAGATTTGTGAACTTCAACCTAACATTTGTATGCACTAACATTTGCTTACATGACGCAATCTGAAATCAGGTGAGTTGTATAATGCTCAGTAAGCAGTCAGGTCTGTCAGGAGAAGGCAGCACAGCATTGTATTAGCACTGAGTCTGCTCCAGATGCTGAAAATATTGGCTTCACACTGAACATGCTCGCCATAAACATTACCATAGTCACACCCTGAACAACATTGCCTCATCTCATTTGTATGGTCATTCCCACACTAGTAACTTGATACTTACCCTCACCAGCTTTGCCTGATCTTAGATTGCATTCCTAAAGTAATGCTGATATATGTTTTTAGACTTCTAGCCCCTAGCGGCTGACACCAACACAATACAAAAACTAGCACTCCAGTATGTACTAACAGAACAAAAAACTGAATGAACAATCTGCATGTAAACTGCTTTAAATGTAATATTTTCACAGCAAATACTGTTTCCAATAATTGTGTTACTTTTTGTGGACCTTAGCTATAAAATACCCACCTGAGAGCGTTTTCTCTTCCATTCCTCCTATTTATTCCTATTTTTCTGTAGGGAGTCTAATTGGTACAATACCTGTAGCACTCTCGCAGTGCACTTCATCTTCCCCAATACGCCCACCCTTTGTCATTTGTATGGCTAGAATTATTCCATGCGGTAGCTCATTACCAAATATTGTGTCAAATGTAAGGTTCTCTGAAGAAATAAATATAGCACATGCAGTGGGCCCACACCGAACCCTGACAAGCAAAATACATGATTTTTTTTCTTCCCCCACACCATCTTCAAAATTTTTCTGTAAAAATGTAAAGGCTCATTAGGATTAAAAAAGACTGTGGAATTTTCTACTGCAGTAATAAAGGAGAACATTTTGATTTGAAGTCGTACAGCTTTTGTGTGAATGTAGCATGCACACAAGCTACAAGATTGCTAGCACTGGAGATTAAAATCCTCTCTCCATAAAACAGTAGTGCAAGCGTCCTCACTCTATCCAGGTGATGTTTATGAGAGGGATCATCTCTAAGATTGAGAGGATCATTCAGTCTCCACATTTGCTGTATCCTTAACCTCCCTACTGAGCCTGCCTGTATGGGT